GTACACTTTACCTAACAGTTTCTTCCTTTCCTAATTTGAAAAGCTCTTAGCTCAGTGGTTCCCAGATGCACCATTGGATTAGAATCACCTGAGAGCTTGAAAAAATGCAAAGATGCTGATTTAATTGGTCTGGGTGTGACCTGGGATCAGGAATTTTCAAACCTCCCTATGGTGATACTAATTTAAGGTTAAGGACCCTGGGTTTAGCTCAGTTTGCTGTATCATACACTCATTAGTTTCACCTGTAGTATTCATGCTGTTTAACTGCTGTAGAAATGCATGAGTGTGCTAGCTCAAAATCGCAACAGCGTAGAAACAGACAGACCTACTTATTTTTCGCCTGGATATGCCCTCTGTGTTTCTAACATATGACATAAATTGGGAAGACTGCATTTTTCTTATCTTTAAAATAAGATGAGAACAACTGATCTTAAACTTTTCTTTCTGCTGCTCTATTCAGCTTCATTTACTGTAACCTGAAGGACCATACCCTGATCACTTCTATTCAGCATAAATGGGCAAAGGATAGCAAAGGAGAGTTTTGCCAGCAAGATGGGAAATAAAGGAGAAGGGTTTGGGGAGGAGACTGACAAGCCAGCACTCTGGTCCTTAGAAGGCCTGGGAGCTGGCCAAAGCTTTATCCACAGAGGTGGAAACCCTTGCCCACCGGCATCTTCTGGGAATGTTTAAAAATACATAATCTTGGGGCCCACTCTGGACTTAACTGAATCAGAATCTGCAGTTTCACAAGATCCTCAGGTGATTCACATGAAATGTAAAGTTTGAATTACCTCCCCCACCCAAAAAAAAGATTTAAAAAAAATTTTTTAAGGAAAAAAAAAGAACTGTAAAGTTTGAGAAGCACTGGCCTCGGCCCCATTCTGTTTGCTTAGTGACTGATCATGTCTACACTTGTGTCCGAGATCTGGGGACATCACATCCACCTGTCAACATGGTCCATCAACTTCTTGTCTCTTCCCTAGGTGAGGAAGCTCTAAACGAATACCTCAAAACCAAGACTGTGACGCTGGAATATTAGAGCAATGCCGTCGTCAGGAAGCCCTCAGCAGACAACCCAGCTCCTCAACTCTTGACATGAAGCCGGGGTGTGCTGAGGACAGCGGTAACAGCCATCAGCCAGAAAATACGCACATGGACCATGAAGAAGGTCAGGCCACATATCTAAGCATTTACATGTGTGCCTGGGTATTTTCTAATATCCTTTTATATCTTAAAATGATTTGCAGTTGGGTTTTAACTATGTTTATACCACACATATTTCTGTAAAATACCAAACTGCTTTTTCCCCCTACCAAGACTAACCACTCATGAAAACGTCAATATCATGCAGTTATAATACAGAAGGCGCATTTTTTGAACCCCTGTATCATATTTACAGGTTTTAACCTCTGAACCAGGCATATGGGGTTATTAAAAAGGTTTTCTATAACTTTGTTCTGAAGGAACAGTATTATCCTGTAAGGAATGTGAAGGAAGGTTTTTGTTTTGTTGGATTTTTTGGAATAAGATACATCTCTGTGCCTTTGATGTTCTATTTTCAACCCACTGTGATGAGTGACCAATCCAGAAACAGTTCTGGTGTACCTACTAAGTATGAGGTACTATACTATGTCCTGAGGAGTATACAGAATTTAATGACATGATCTTTGGCCCCAAATAGTTTAATTCTAGTCAATAGCTTTTAAAGTGAATTTTATAGTATAATATATTATAAAGTAAATAGCTTTTGGGGGCTGATCTTTGTTCATATGATACCATCTTACTATCTACATGACTTTGGGAAACTTATGCAACTTCTCTGAGCCTCAGTTTCCTTATATGTACAATGGGGACAGTAATGTCTCCCTGAGGAGCCTTATTATGAGAATTCAATGCAATAATCTAAGTAAAGCACCTTGCACTGTGCTTTTTTATGGTAAATATTCAATAAAAGTTAAGTGCTCCCCCATCCCCATTTTTAAAATAGAGGTATGTTAATTCAGTGAATTAATTCCCGTACAACCCTTTTCAGTAGTCATCGATTCCTGTGCTCCCTTCTCATCCCTTGTCTGAGCCAGTGCCCAATACGGCAGCCCTGGAAAATGCCACGGAATGAAAAATGACAATGGTCCAAGGAAGAGGGTGCTTTTCTTTCTGCAGCTCATTCGTCCTTCTAGGACATTTGGTTTTCCATTCTTCTACGTATTGGTTCTGCCTCTCACTGGCTGTGTGATCTTTGGCAGATTATTTACCGAGTATCTCAAAGCCCAGCCTCGGAATCTATAAATAGGGATAAAGTCCCTATCTCATTAGGTATTGTAATGACCCAGTGGGATAATATACATAAAATAATGCACTTAACAAGGTGTTTGGACCATCGTGCGCACTCAAGAAATAGGAATTATTAAAACCCATGCAGTAATCACATAATTAATTGCCCACTGTCAGACAAAAATAGTGAGGTGGGTAAATTCTAACCATCTGTGTATGACTAGAAAAAAGTGAGCTCCTGAATTGAAAAGCCTCCAGAAGCTGGTCAGAGCAATTAACTTCCATTAGTCCTCCTTGTAAAGTAAAATGTCAGTAAACATTTCTATCTCTTTGGCTTTGAAGAAGCCCTTAGGGACTACTTGTTACTTTGGAAACTCAGCAGCTTAATGTAAGAGGAGTATAGGGGATCAGTCATCAATAAACAATAACAAAATCAAGGGTAGAAAACATTCAGAAGGAATACCCAGTACGATCCCGACATGATCAGTAGAGCACGTTTTGCCTGTCAGCGTGTTTTTTATTATGCGACCACTCATTCGCCATCAGAGCTTGGCACAGGTGAAATTCTAAATTTGGACCCTGTTGGGTCCAAACTGACAGTTCATATTTGCATAAAATGACAAAATTCTTATTATAAAGGAACCACTTTTTTTAAATGTAGTGTTTTAACTGATTGCATGTGATTCATCACTTTACCAAATATTGTAAGGATAGATAAAATGGCAAATGAAAACACGCCCGTTTCTTCTAGACTGAATTTTACCCACTAATATTAATCGCAGCAGCAGTGCTTTTAATCTTTGGGACAGAAACCTCTTTGAGAAGCCAATAAAAGCTGTGGCTCCCCTTTGTTCCAAATATACACGTACATACCTGATTCTAGTCACAGACCTCCTGAGACCCATGCTTGAGCTCCAGATTAAGAACTCCTTTTTCCATAGTGAGTTCTAAAGGTCTTAGGGGCTTTTTTTCTATCTGACTGCTGACCAGAATCAAAGGCTTCCATGGAATTTATAAAATTACCACTGAATTTGAATTGGAACATAATGATCCACAGCCCACTAGATGATTTAATTAACACACTGACTAAATTATCACCGTTTCTTCGTGAACGTTAGCTTCGTGAACAGGTGCTTGTTTTGTTCAATGCTGTATCTCCAGTGTTTAATACATAGGAAGAGCTCAATAAATATTTGCTTTCAAATGAAAGAGGTTAAGTAACCTGCCCAAATCACACAGCTCTTAAGTGGCAGAACAGGCACTCAAGCAAGGAAGCTATAGTCTTAACCAAGCTAAGATGCTGTTATCAAATGCCTAAATCAGGTCCTGAGTAGTGAATAGGACCACATGTCAAATATCCATCAAACTAAAAAGCTAAGCAGAGTGGATATTAACTGCAAGAGCTTTTGTGGAAATGACTAGAGACAGGATGAAGCAGCAAACAAGTTCCCCCATACCTGCCTGCTAAGAAAATAAAAGCTATCAAGGGAAACCTGGGCTACAAGTAGGTTATCAGCCATGAGACATGCTGGATAGGGTGGGTTATTATTATTATTACTATATGCAAATAATACCCAAGGGGATTTTTTTAAATGATTCAGTAACACCTAATTTTGTAAGAATAATAAAATGGGAAAGTAAGATTAAACCATAAACTTCCCATAAATAACCAGATGATATTTGAGATTGTTCAAGATATTTTCAATGAATGTATATACTTTTTTTTAGAACTAGTATAATACTGTACATAACTTTACCTGCTTTTTTCCATTAACAATATGTAAGCATCTTTCTATGTCAGTAAACACACCTCTGCATATGGCTTTAATTCAACTTGTTCTCTATTGTTGGACTTTATATTTTTATCTTTTTTTGCTATTTTAAATGTCACAATCAATCTTGTGAACACAACTGTATTTGCTTACCTAGAATAAATTCCTAGAGGTAGAATCTCTGATTCAAAGGACATAGCAATCTATAAACTCACCAATAGTTTCTCCAGTTTTTTTGCCACCGCTGTATATTATTCTATTTTAAACTGAAGTATAGTCGATTTACAATGTTGTGTTATTTTCTGGTGTACTATTATTCTTACAGCATCATAGTACCTCACACTCATCAAGCACTGTTCTAAGCATGTGATGTATATTAACTCATTAGCTTCTTCCCAAACCCCACGAGGGAGATAACCGTTATCCCCATTTTACAAATGGGAAAAATAAGGTAAGTGGCTGGGCTGGGCTGGGTCTAGCATTAGAGCCTGTGCCTGTGGCAGAGTGACTAGCAGGCCCTCAAGGGCTAGGTGTGGCTGACTGAACTTAAAGCTTGGCTCCACCGCTTACGTACTGTGAGACTTTGCTACAGTTATCTGATGCTATAACTCTGTTGTTTGCTTCTCTTTGCTATCCTTGGTGTGCTGACTGAACCCTCAAGAGCTGGCTCCATTTTGTCCACTAGGTTGGAGTTCCAGGAATCACATCCAGTCATAAGATACCCAGTCCTTTCCTTCAAAAGAAAGGAATCATCTCTTTACGTACTTCCTTACTGGCAAGGGTTCTCCATGAACAGATGGAGGGGACTCAACCACACAGAGATTCCAACATTAAACTTTTGGTAAAAGCCTACCAATCAGTAAGCCAAACGATAGTAAACTTGTCCTTTTTTTCTTCAGGATTATGAACCACTGATGTTTAAAGTGTATTACTTTACTGACACAAAGAGGGAAAATAAAAGTTTCATGAACATTTATTGTACATTTTGAGTGAAAGGCACCATGCCAGGCACTGAGGGAAATACAAATCAAAGACTCAACCTCTTTTCTTGTCTTTCCTACCACATTCCAGCACGAGAATACAAACTACTTTGCAAGGCAGTTGTTTTTTAAGTACCATATTTGGTGCACAATTAAAGTATTATTAGAATAGACGGGATTCATCAAGAATATTTTTGCTTTAAAGACAATTACCTAATTTTCTGATTTATAACTGTCAAGAGCCATAAAAGGATAATACACAAGTTTGAAGAGAACATCTCACACCAGCCTCAGCAGGAGAAGGAACCTTCTCCAAATGGCTGCCATCACCTCACACCTAAGCACCAAGCAGAGAACCACAGGGTCAGACCAACCAAAGCACTACAGGGACTTAGTTCCCAAGAGACTGGAGAGCAAACTGCTTACAAACAAAATGGTTTTTCAATTAAGGTGTAACATACATAAAGTGCACAAATGTTAAATGTATGCCCCAGTAAGAAGCTTTTGTATATGTGTGAGTGGTGGTAACTCTTACATGTCAAACACCAGAACAGTGGCTGACACACAGAAGGGGCCCAGTGACTACTGGCTGTTGTTTGATCTGCCACTTCACCACAGGCAAAAAAATACAATCTTGGTTTCATCTGCATGTCTTTGAAAAATGGGATTGAACATTTTTTTCCTTGAATTACTTGTTCATGTCCTAAGGCTTTTTCACTATTGAGATACTAGTCATTTTCTTATACTAATTTTTAAGAGCCCTTTATGTACTAATAGTACTCACTTTTGCCTTATATTGCCAAATATTTTTCCCAGTTTGTCCCTTGCCTTTTAGATTTCTTTCCCACCCACTAGTTTTTAATATTTATGAACTTTCTGCTCTTTTCCTTTGTGATTTCAGGCTTTGGTGTTCTGCCTTAAAAAAAAAAAAGCTTTTGCTTTTATTAAATATTCATCCATATTTTAGTATGAAATTCTTGTAATTCTATTTTTAATATTTAAATCTTTAATCCATATATAATGTATCTTAGTACACGGTAAGAGGCTAGAACCTAACCTTGTTTAAAAGTAGCCCTGACGCTGTAAATAATTTGTCCATTTTATGGACTTAAAAAATGGCATCCTTATCACATACTAAATTTTGGGTTTTCTATTTTCTCCTATGTCATAAGACTGTCCAGAGGTATTGAATTTGGTTGACTTAACTGTAACTGTATAGAACACCTAGTTGTATTATATGAGACAGCCATCACAGGAGAGAAATACATTAAAATTCTACACTAGTTATGTATTTCTAGACTGACTAGTCTCTTTCCCTGACCATCAGTCTATTTCTAGTTGGATATGTATTTCCTGTGAAATTACACCTTTATATCTCCATAGATATCATGGCTTGAAATGTCCTGTACATCCTCGTATACCTGCTAATTCACTTATGAACATCATTCAGTGCCTACTGTGTACCATGCACCATGCTAAGAAGTGAACCGGACAAACGCAACTCTTCCCACAATGTAGCATAATTACTATCTGGTAGAAGACAATCTTTAAATATTTACACCAATAATTCAGCACAGCTGTGTTTGTTGCTACACATAATAACCCCAGCTAAGAAGTCTCGTTTCCAGATCTGTTCACTTCTTCATACCTTTAGCCTGGGTTCCAAGTTCCAACGGGAAATACCTGAGAATTACCTTCCGAGTATTTACAAGATGTCTTAGACTAATGTGAGAAGCAGGAAAAAATAGTTAATAGAGAACCCTACAACATGAGGGGACAAAGGTCCATCAGCTCAACACAGTTGGAGAATCCTTTAAACTCTCAGGTCTACACCCTAAGAAAAGCCAGTCCCTTGGCAGAGATCATAAACAAGTTTAATAAGGTTAAGAATGAGGCAGAAAGGCAACTCCGATGGAGGATCATTTTGTCGTTTGAAAGGGAAAACCAGTTATTATGTTTATGTACTGTGCCCAGTCTTCCTGTGGTGTCCCTATCCTCTACATTTATAGTTTTATAAAACTGTGGGCAACTGTGAGGAATAATTTTAATAGCTGAAACAAAAAAAACTGCTTTATGAAAAAAAAGAAAAAACAACCACCAAAAACCTACAAATTTTCCAAGCAGTAAATTCGATGTGTACTGAGTGGCTCCAGACGCACCAACAGTGATTAAAGCACAGAGCACTGGTTTTCCAGCTCAAACTGGAAAGGATTTTTTTTTCTAAGTGAAAGTAGATATGTCTGACAGCAATTAAGTATAAATATTCCCTTTGTAAAAAATCTTAAAAAAAAAAACTTCTCCTTCGCTGAACCCATTTTGACAGCAATAAATTTGACTTCATAATAACCTTAAATAAAGAACAAACCTAGGTTGTTTTATCCAAGAGGATAATTTAAAACAAAAATAAATAGGTGATTTGTATTTTTACTTTAAAATAAAGTTTGATACCTCTAAGTCCATGCTAAAGAAAGAAGATGCCAACAAATTCACTCATCACCGTATGTAAAGTTAAGCTTTCTAAACCATATCTCTAGCATGAGATCAAATTCAGTCTGCTCTTAAAAGATCCCCAAAGGCTCTCTCTTCCAGTTCTTTAAAACCCAGCTTCTGTTTCTCCAAGAAGCAAAATATGTCTGACATTACATAGAAGCACCATAGATACCTGAAATGCAAAATAACTAGGGAACCACATTCTCTTTCACAGAATTAGCAGGCTCTATCACCTCTTTCTTAGATCATTTATTTCCCTATTTCTTTTCTTCGCTGGCAGGACTGTCCAATACCTCTATCTTGCCTTTTCTATCTTCTGAATGAGGAAGCTTGATGTTATTGATGGTGACTTCAGAAGAGGCGCTGTCGTCTTCATCCTCAGATTCTGAACTGTCCTTTGAACTGTCTTGAGAATTCTCTTCTGAACAGTCCTCTTCTTGTGAATCAGACTGATTCACTTCAAACAAGGCCACATCCTGCCAAAAAACACCATGTGGGAAATTTATTTCAGGGCAGTTCCCTAAAAAGTTTTAACGACACCTTATGGAACAGCCAACATTTAGCACAAATACTGAAGCATGAAGGACAAGAAAGCATTGTTATTCTTTAGTTGCCAGAGTCGACCATAATGATCTATATTTAGTGCAAGTCTAAAAAGTCCCCCACAACCTAATTCTATTTATCCTGAATGTATTCAACAATATTCCCTCAATAAACGTCAACACGAACCAGGCACTGCACTAAGGACTAGAGACTCCACAATAACGACAAAATCCTTGCCTTTGTAGAACTTACGTTTTTGAGCAGGAGACGGCAAATTACAGCCTGCAGGTCACACCTACCCTGCTGCCTGCTTTTGTTCAGCTCATGAGCTAAGAATAGTTTTTACATTTTTAAGTGGTAGGAAAAAAAAATCAAAAGAGTATTTCATGAAACATGAAAATTATATGAAAGTCAAATGTCAGTGTCTATAAATGAAATTTGTAAAACTTGTCTGTTCGTTAAGTACCATCTACAGCTGAGATGGCAGGACTGAGCAGTCACGAGAGATGGCATGGCCCAGAAGGCCTGATGTATTTACTGTCCGGCCCCCTACAGAAAACATGTGCTGACCTCTGTTGTAGTTGGGAAAGAAAGGCAATAAACAATCACATATAAAGCATAGTGTAGGGCAGTGAAAATTAAAAAGAAAAAAAAATAAGCTAATAATCAGGCCATCAGGGAGGGCCTCTTGCTGAGGTGACTAGAAGTAAGAGATGGAGGGAGTAAAGATGCAGAAATGTGGGGAAGGGCAGTCTACAAACAGGGAAAGGCATGGAGCAGGAAGACAAGACTGAAGTCAGTAAACGAGGGGCCGGGTGGGAGATGAGGTCAGGTAGAGAGCTGGAGGCAGGATCATACAGGCCCATGGGGGTCTTTGAACTTACTAGAAATGTGATGGGAAGCCCCCTGGTTCCCAAACTGTGGGCCACACACACTGTGTGAAAAAAAGACTCCAGAAAGAAAGGGTGGAGGCAGGGAGACTGGTTGGGGAATCAATGGGATAATCCACAGGGGATACCGTAATCACTTAGACCGAGGTTGGTGGCAGTGGATGCCGTGCGAAATGGCTGGATTTGGGGTATATTCTGGCAATAGGGCTGACAGATTTGATGACAAATCAGGTATTATTATTAACAATGGTGTCAGATTTGTCCAGACACAAGTGGAATAAAGGGAATTCCAGTGTGGAAATAAGATATGAGCCTAAGTGGAGAGGCAATTCTCACAGGTGGCTATGTAATCAGTTACTCTGTTTTACACATCGTTTATTTTTGCATTCTCAATGAATCAGACTATGAATGCCTCTTTTGGGCCTTGGAGAGAAAAATAAGAAAAAATCCAATTAGGACATTTAGCAAATAAATGCTTCAAGATAACAAATGTAACATTTGACTTGAAAAAGCCTCCCTATGATTGCAAATTACTAAATTCCTAAACTTCACCCAGGGAAGCTTACTGATCTATTAGACCCTTAATCATAAAATGACCAAGTACCTATGTGGTACTGGAAACATGAGCTGACTTTGCATTAAAAAAGGAAAACAACACTTGGAATTAAAATTTTAAAAGTTCTTTCTTGGTCGTGGGTATAGTTCAGTGTTAGTGTGCATGCTTGGCATACACGAGGTCCTGGGTTCAATCCCCAGTACCTCCAATAAAACAATAAATAAATAAACCTAATTACCTCCCAAAATTAAAAAAAAAAGTTCTTTCTCTTCACGCAGTATGCGTGATGATACATACTGGTAATTTTTACTTTATGAAATGAAAACAAACCATAGTTACCATTTGTATAACTTTTCCAAGAGTCTCATCAATATTTTCAATGTTGAAATGACCAGGTGGTGCAGCTGCCATTTCTTTTCTTAGCTTTTCATTTGCCTGAGCCATCTGTGGGAGGAAGGTCTGTACTTGGTCCAACACTAAGGAGAAGAAATATAGTTTATCAATATTTATGTTAGCATTTGGCCAAACTTCAAATTTCAAAATCTAGAATTTCTTGTAAAACATTTCTCAACTTGATAATAACAATAATTATAATTTTAAAAAATCTTTCAAATCCCTTCCATTTTAAAGACCTCCATCATCTTCTGAATTCTTAAAGCAGTAGGACTATCAATTCAGCAATTATGTCTCAAAGTTTTGTGTTTTTCATACACCCCCAGAAGTGGAAATTCCTAGAAGACTGGCCTTCAACAAATAGTTAACAAGCAGCAGTAGAACTTATATGCACAAGGCTCTGAAGTCAGACTGATGAGGTTATTAACAGAATTCCAGTTCCACCTCTCAGTTACCTCGGGCATGAGCAGAGGTTTCTTGGACCTTCCCAACATCTGTTCCCCTTCTTCTGATAACATAACCCCGACTTTCCTTTTAAACTAAGAGTCACTCTTAGTCACTCTTGTCCCTACCCTGTTCGTGCGTACCTGTTCTACAACCTTGGCCACTCTGATTTGGTTCAGCAACACCGTGATCTAGTCAGGCCAGTAAGATACCACCCTGGGACTTTGGTTTGCACTGCTGAGAAAGACATCCCTTCTTTCAGAGTAAACGGCTTGAGTGAGCTGCTGAATATAAGCCTACAGCTGCTGATAAACTGGCCCACTTGCTATGCATTGGGGATGAGCTTGTTTTAGACAAAGCCAATGCTTAGACAAGCAGAACCAACAGATACGGAGCAGCAGATCCCTGATGACACTGAACACGTGGATGCAGATGCACCTGAAATCACTGGGGCATTTTTTTTTATCCCCAGAGAAATGAGCAAACAACGTATATATAACTGAGCCATATGCTGTACACCAGAAATTAACACAACATTGTAAACTGACTATACGTCAATTAATAAAAAAAATTACCAAGCATGCAAATAAGTGGGGAAATACAACCCATAAGTAAGGAAAAAATCAACAGAAATAGATCCAGAAATGACACAGATGATAGAATCAGCAATAAGACTGTTAAAACAGCTATTATAAATATACTCCTTGTATTCAAGAAAGCAGAGAAAAAGAACAAGGAAATTCTTCTCATTCCTCACCATAAGGAGATAAATGAAAGATATAAAAAAGACTCACACTGAACTTCTAGAGATGGAAACTACAATATCTGGTTTGAAAAATAAATTGGATGGGATTAAACAGCAGATTAGACAAGAAAAGATTAGTGAACTTGAGGACGTAACAACAAAAACTATCCAAAATGAAACACAAAAACTAAGACCAAAAGAAACAACACCAAAGACCAACAAAACAGAACCAAGCATCATTGAGCTGTGGGACAATTTCAAGTAGCAAAACTGTGTGTAATTACAAAGTCCCCACAGGAAAGATGAGAAAGAAGGGGGACTTAAAAAATATCTGACCAAAAATTTCCCAAATTTGAAAAAAAAACCCTGTAAATCCACAGATCCAAGAGGTTCAACAAACCTCAAGCTCAAGAATCACAAAGAAAATGACAACAAGGTACATCACCATCAAATTGGTGAAAACCAGTGATAAAGAAGAAAATCTTTTTATTAACATTTTTTATTGATTTATAA